CACACACACACACACACACACACACACACACACACACACACACACACACACACACACACACACACACACACACATACCTACTAGTTAATTAAAAAACCTCCTTTCTATACAGTACATTTAGCCAACCCCCAGCTCTCAATCGCTCTGATATACGGCTGCATCACATGTACACACATATACCTCTTCAACTAAAAAACGAAAGAACCTGCATAAGTAAAAGCACTACAAACCCCGTGCAATTTACCTTTAGCCCCCCTTAAGAAAAAACTCCACTCCACCCGCCCACCTCCAAAAAAACTGATCCCGAAAAAACAATAGCCTAAGAATTTTTTACGACTAAAAAAGAATAAACACGTACTGGCCGAAACAGAACCAGAAAAAAACAAAAAAGGAAGCAAAAACGACAAAGACCTCGGAACGTCAACTTGCCCACACGACAAGGGCTACCACGCCCCACTGAGCACGGAATATCGGTCGAAGACGAAGTACTTGACAAAAAAACGAAAACACGGGCAAAAGACCCAGACAAAACGCTACCCCCCACGAACAGGCAAACCCTGACATCCCCTACAGAAGACATCACACTCACTGACGCGAAACACCAACACGACAGACCCATGATCTGCCAAGAATCTCTTCCTGCAGTATTCCCCCCCCCAAAAAAAAAAACCACCATCCTGAATACAGAGCACAGCCACAAACTGGAACCTCCACCCCTACGCACTAGCCCCCGCGCCCTTGCCGCTCAAGATGACTAATGACTATTTTAGGAACTCCTGGTACCCAGATAGCGCCCTCTCTCTACCGGCAATCCTGGCACCGGACTTGCGCAATCTGCACAACTCCGATGCGACTTACCTCCGTACTAGCAACTGAGGACCGTCAAGGCCCACCTGACATTATTGGCTCAGATACCTGGTGATAGCAGATCCTGGGCACACAACGTGACCAGAATCCATCCCGGGCCTTACATCGCACTACGTCTACACGTGCTCGCCAAGACCGCTCCTTTGAAGATGGCAGCGATGGCCCCGGCTAATGACGAACACATCACTGACGCAAAGATCAACGCACACGCGATAACTATGACACACACCTACTTTCCCCCTACTTACTCCCCACTACCTCAACCCCCCCATACCTCCTACGTCTTGCCCTACACCTCATACTATATATACCCAATGCACACCTGATCCCCCTCCACGCAGCACCTCCCGATTTCTATACCCCATGTGCATCCACCTCTTTCACCCAAACTCACTGCTCAGGCCGCCCTACTCCTCTGGCGATTAAGCCTGCTGTTGTAGGATGCCACCCATTTTTGCAGTTTATTCTCGTCCCTTCTTTCCCTCTGATGAGCCGTTTGGCGCAAACGGCGAAAAGCGCTTCAGGGACGCGCCACCCTCCTTCCTCGAATCTGGAAATTGGTCCTGCCGAAAAAGGTTCTCCTTTTCTTTCGTCTACCTCCTTCTTCCGACTATCCTCCCTTCCCCTATTCCTCCCCCCCTTTGTTTCTTTCCCCCTCTCTCTCTCCCTCGCTCCCCCCCTGTGAATGGTAAATGGCATGGTGTTAATAGGATATTGTGAGCAATGGCTGTAGGTGTACAATGGTGATCCTTACGATTAGATAGCATGATGCTTTGCTTGCTTTGTGACATTGCATGCTATACGTTTCAGTACTGTTCCTGGCTTGGCCAGGTTGTGCAATTGCTATGCAATTTATCTCATAAAACACTCACTTTCTTTCGCCAAAGCTGCGCGGGCGGGGACCCCGCGCAACTTCGGCGCAAGTGACTGTGTGTGTGTGTGTGTGATTGGGTGGGGGTTGGGGGGGCGACCCATCCCCCACCAATCAATCAATCAATCAATCAATCAATCAATCAATTTATCTCATAAGAACTGCCCTCTGTGTGTGTGTGTGTGTGTGATTGGGTGGGGGTGGGGGTTGGGGGGGCGGGTTTTCCATTTTTTTTTTTTATACGTTTTTTTCTCTTTTGATTGATTGATTGACTGATTGATTGATTGATTGATTGATTGATTGGTAGGGGATGGGTCACCCCCCCCTCACCCCCATCCGATCACACACACACA